TCATCTCTTCTCCTTATCGACCCATCACTTTTTTTTCATCCAGCACTTTTTTATTTCACTTATTTTGCTTTCTTCCAATCTAAAATCGACGCAGGAGATTCAGGCGAGCTGCGCGGACGTGTGCGAGAGCTGCGAAAAGAAAGTGTACCCCCTAGAAAAGGTGGAGACAAATAACAAAATATTTCACAAACAGTGCTTCCGGTGTCTGCAGTGCAATTGCGTGTTAAGGTAACGTTACAATCTTCCCTGAGACTTTATCTCTCTGTTTTTTTTTTTCTTCTTCCTCGTAACAGACCATATTCCCCCTCTTTTTTCTCTTTTCTTTTCTTTTCCTGCAGCACCAACCGATACAAAATCTATAAATGGAACAATCAAATAAACGATGGTTTTTTTTTCCCAAACAGGATGGACACGTTCACCTTAAATAATGGTAAACTCTACTGCATCCCACATTTCAAACAACTGTTCATCACACGAGGTAATTACGATGAAGGTTTCGGCGTGGATCCACACAAGAATAAATGGACGACCAGCTCGAGCAATCCGACGAGTCCATCGCCGATCGCAGTATCGAATGGCGATCTCTGATTTTGCGAGTTGTAATTAGACGAAGAAGAAGAAAGGAAAAAGAAAGAATGAAACGTAAAAGCCTTGGAAGGCTGTAATGTCGAATAAAGCCAGAATTGGTCAGGCATAGAAAAATCCATTGGATATTTTCAATTTTCCAAAGATGATTGCCAGGCCATTTGCGAATCGATCGATAAATCGTTTTAGCCTCCTCTCGACTTATGCGACTGATCGTGCGTTGATTATGATATTTTAATCGACAAGAATCGCGACGAGGATTTTAAGACGTTTCACGTCCTCCCTATTCCTTGCTCTGTCATTTTAAGTATTTTATTTTTTAGACTTCTAGATCCCTATTGCCAATGCCCTATTATAAATTCCGCTTAAATATTTGTTACATTTATTATTATTAATATTAATATTATTTTATTATTATTATTATTATTATTATTATTATTATTAATATTAATATTATTATTTTTTACTTCTATAACTTTTGGTATTATTTTATTATATATGTTGTATAATACAGAATTTCATTGCGCTTTATAATACATATTGTGTCATCCATTCATTTACCTCTTTTTAAACAGATTATTGGAATTGTTAGTTAACAATTTCTTTTTTCTGAAAAGAAATAAGCAAACTCATACAAATATATATGTTTAAATTAAACAGCATCGATAAAAGATGCAAATTATTGAAAAGAAATAAAGAATATTAACTTTTGAATAATTTTAAAAATAACATACCAAATGTAAAGTCGAGAAATCCTTTCCTGAGATTTAAAACTGAAGATCCTTAAAAGATCAGTAGTAATCAGATATTTTAACTACTTGTTTAAAAAATCTCATGTGCTTGACTTTCTTTGTGCAAATAATTAAGTAGGTTAGGTATATCTATTGTACAAAGGATTTTTGTTATAAATTAATAAATTGCTATAAAATAATTAATCATATAAGAAAAATACTGAATTAGAAATATTAATAATATTTTACTGTACAAATATATCTAAAGCAACAATTGTGTTAATTTTAATAATAATATTGATTGCTTTAGTCATTGATTTTAAAACAGTGTGCTATTTTAATAATCAAATATGTAATTATCAAATTTATACCTTCCAATATAGTTCCGTTTAATCATCTTTTTATTAATTAAATTATTCTATAAATAAATATACTTTATACATTGAGATAAGATATCTTGTTTATCTTCTATAAATTTGACAAATAGTTCAGTATATTTCTGCAGATGGCAGAGTAATCGTATTAATACATCAGTGTTCTCCATGTGCATTTCTTATTTACATTTATTGTGTTCCTTTTCATTTATTTCGATTCAATAAATATTGATCACAATCACAAAATCTGTTCTAACTTCAATGTTAACTGTAGTGATAAATAATAAAGTGACATTTTCGAAACAAAATATTCATCACATTGTGATAACATTACTTCTTCACTTATCCCTAGACATAAGCAGCTAGTGACTTTATTATATTTTCTGAGAAATTGGCAACACTTTCCAACAGACAGTAAGCATTCAATTATCATTATTTAAATCACTTTCTATAAATTCTTGTGCAATACATTCAATATTTCAGATGGAAATTTGCATAGATTCTTTAGAATCAGCGAAAAATGCAATCGAAGGTGGTGCAACGAGACTCGAAATTTGTTCCGCCCTTTCAGAAGGTGGTTTAACACCCACTCCTAGCTTTTTACAAAAAATTAAAAGTTTTTCATCTATTCCAATTTATGCTATGCTTCGAATACGTTCCGGAAATTTCGTATACACGAAAGAAGAAATGGAAGTCATGTTACAGGATTTAAAAATATTAAAAAATTACGGTGCTAATGGTTTCGTCTTTGGCGCATTAACGTCAGATAATGAAATCGACGTGGAATCTTGCAAAGATATTCTTTCCGCTGCTCAATCATTACCAGTAACCTTCCATCGAGCCTTCGACGAAGTCAACGATCCCTTAAAATCTTTGAAAATATTAATAGATTTGAAATTCGAGAGAATTCTAACTTCTGGACAAAAAGATACCGCAGAAGAAGGATTAGAATTGATAAAAAAGCTCGTTCAAGAAGCTCAAAACAAAATAATCGTGATGCCAGGTTCTGGTATTACTAATAAAAATATCTTGAAAATAAAGATGATATCTGGTGCGAAAGAATTTCATGCATCAGCTAAGAAAAAGGTGGTAATTCCGTATGGTATAAATAAAGTTAAAATTGGTGCTAATAGAGAAACTTACATCACAATGACTGACAAAGAATTAGTGCGAGAAATGGTTCGAATTTTACTGAATACTATATAGTGTTCACGGTGATAGACTATGCATTTTTAAATCGAAGAATATTTTGCTTGAAGTCACGAACCTGTTTCTTTATATAACTGGTTTCTCGATAAAAAATTAAATTCTAACCAAAAAATACAATACCAGATTATTATTACTATTTATTTATAAGAAATTTATATTCTTGTATATTAATTTAATTTAATAAAAAAAAAATATTAAAATTTAAATATTATTTGGAAATTGTCTTTTTATTTTATAATAAAACGATTCGAAACGAGAAAAAATACATTGACATAAATATAGAGAGAGTATATATTTCTTTAATTAATGTTTGGAACAACTTTTGCATTTACATATTCATCTAGTGATGTAATTTCGCAAACAGATTAATTGAATAAGATATATTTAATCACAATATTAGTTTTAAAAAAAGTTGCAAAATATTATTATGCTTTCATTTAAATTTTATAAAAATATAATTATTTAGCTCAAATTTACGTATGATATTATAGCATATATCCTCAGAATACAAATGCATTCTTACTACACAATAAATTCAGAAAATGTCATTATCATCCATATTTAAATTGTAATCGTTTCATAGTACTTGTACATAAATGGAATCTATATTACGTGTTAAAAATTATGCATGAGATTGCTTATTTCATGTCGTAAATAATAGGTAACAATTATTCGATGATTCACAATTGATGAAATTATCTCGAACTTCTTTTTTATGCATATAGGGCAAACAGAAAGTTGACTCGTCGAGATTTTCCTTTTGAAATCTTCACTTCAACATCGTTACTCTTTCAAAACTAATTGATTTTTATTATCCTACAACACTATTCTATATTTAATATGTCGTTAAATATTATATTATAATTTTAAAATTAAAAAATAAAAAATCAGATAAATTTCTATTTCAATTTCTATATATATTCTGTCGCAGAATCACATGTTGATAAAAGATCGCGAAAGATTATATTTTAAATCGGAAGTGATCGATTGCATAATATCATGACGATAGCTTTTCACAAATTATCCAAGAAAGACAAGTGTCGCAAGCAATGCAATAATTTCGCGGTAAATATCTTTGCGACCAATTTGGAATTGCAAAAGTTTGCGCAACAGTTCAATGCATAAGGGGTCCTTGCACACGGAAAATAACGGCACTAACGATCAACTGTAGACTGCGCACTTTCGATTTACGACATATCATGGCGAAAAGTGCGTATATACACGCATACAAACCCATACCCGCCCAACGATATGTAAAATCGAAAGCTACTTTAAACGTGTATATGTGAAAAAAACAAATACGAAGTCAGAATCCATGTATGTACATTTGTAACGCATATGTACAAGTTTCATGGTGCAATCATAAGGATCGCGCGTGTGCACATTGGCGTCAGTGAACATGAATTTGAAAATAGCCTCAAAAAATAGATGTAAACGAGAAGAAAATAAATGTTTCAAAACCTAACATTAATATGTAATTTCGTAAGAAATTTCGATTTTTTATCTATAGATTTTAATCATTCTATAAAATTTATGAAAGATATAAAATTTGTGAAAGAAATCTCAAGCACGATTAACATTTTTTAATAAGACAATGATATCAAATTATGTGAAACATCAGTAATGAGGTTAAACACTTACCACAAATCAAATGGCGCGCAATGACAATTCAGTCAATCAATAGGTCCAATTAAATATCAGGAATTATTGAGTTAGATAAAAAGACACTCACAATCTGAAAGTCCTATGTAAATCAATCACATCGAATAATAAGCAATGGATAGTTTAAAGTCGGTCAACTAGTTACTTACTTGTAGAAGGGATAGAGAAAAACATGATCTTTGGAATCTGGCACGAAGGATCAAGGGGTCGTTTTTTCTAGCAATGCTACCAACTGCGCCGGCGCCCATGAAGTTGACCGGTGGAGAGTGTATTTACCGCCAAGACGCGCGCGCATATACCCCTGCAAGGTACGTTGGCCTAGAGAATGTGTTAGTGCGTGACACTCTACTGGTTGTCTGGTGGCTGTATTATTGCTCAACTGGATTCGTCTCTCAGTGCGAGAAAGACGTTCAAACGGTTCGGTTGTCATCATTTGCGCATTTCGACCTCGTCCTTCTTCCTCCTTGTGACTGCGATATAGTTTCATTTCGTTTTAATTCCCTTTGTCTTCTTTCACAGTGATCCATAATTCTCTTTGTGTAACCTACAATAACACAAAGAAACATTCGAATTCGATTTGGAATGCATTTTCGTCACTCATTATATACAGAAATGCAAGATTATTTCACATTATTATTTAGTGTGTGACTGTGTTCGTAACCTCATATCGAGAAACATTTTTTTCTATTTATGTGTGAATCCTTTGATTATATATTGTGCGTAGACATGTTAAAAAGTACAAATATCGTTATATCATACATGTGTTATCAAGAATTTACGAAAATCTTTGTCTAAAATATAGACACGATTATATTATTCACCATACATCAAGAGCTTTCATAAGAATTTGCTGAAGTATATATAAGCAGATTTGTAAACGACAATATCACAGAGGTAATTTTGTTAATATTTTAAAATAAATTGTATTGCATAATTGCACAATATAAAATCTTAGTATAGAAATCGCACGAGAAATCGTTGTCTGATCTATTCGAGATTCAATTCTTTGCAAATATGGAGACAATACATAATATATTTCGAGTCTATGGAAAAACAAAATGTTTTAACATTTCCCATTTAACTTAAAAAAAAAAACAGTATGACATATTCATTCATGATACAACGCATACGCGTGCTTAATCTTATGAAATCAAAGAGGTGACAGTTGAAATCGAGGAAGTATAACGAGGAAAAGTCGTACGAGTATCAAATTCACAAAGAGCATATGTATGTATAGTCTCGTTATATATCTAGCAACGTTATAAAAAAATTTCCCAAACTTTCGTAATATTTTACAAAACTTTCTGTCGGATATATTATAGTTGACCTACTTTTAAAAGTATAGATTCTTTTCAAAATCCTTATATTATAAATCTTAATAAATAATTATGTACATCGAACTACAATACAATAGACCCTCTCAAATACTATATTTGACACAATAAATCATATTGAATCCGTTGAATATGATCTTTAATACCGACAGATAGAAGGTAAATTGTAAGTTATGATTTGATAATAAGAATCAAATACTTCATCAATAATTTATTTTTCAAAAATTCATCGATATTTCTCAAAACTTTGAAAGTTATCTGTTAAATTATTATTATAATTACATCGTTTACGATATTTTCGTGTCATTAACAATTCTAATTGATTCAAAAGCATATTTTTCAAAAATATTACAGTTTTTTATCTTAATAGATAAAATAACTTTCGATTTTTCGAATACGAGCAACCTGATTCTAACTTGAATAATCCAGGTTACGTGTGCAGAACGAGAGATGCATTTCTATCACGTATTTTCATCGTTCGTGTCGTTTATCCACGTGGCGTGAGTGAATTGAGAAAGCCAATACCAGACTCCTTGAATCCGTTCACAGTGTCTAACGGTACTCTTATTTCTTCTTTTCAAACTGTTGCTCGATGATGACGCGTAACACCAAAGAACGAAATCTCGACTTTTACCAGTTTTATGTAAGATGAAATGGAATTTGTCGAACAGTACAGAATAGTAATTAAAGCATGTTATGTGACGCACGTGCAATACTTTCACATAACATGCATGGATACGTAAACTGCGTTAGATCATTGTATCACTGCGCAGAATTCAAGTATTCTCGTTTTTCATTTCTCGTTTTTTCGTTTTTTTTAATTTACTGATATCTCGTAGTAAATATTAAGTAGAATTAAATGAAAGCTCATAAATGGCTGATGGATAATATTTTTACTGAGACACGTTAAGGTACTATTTTAATTATGAGATACTGATTATTAGATTAAATTATCGATATTTATTTTCTTTACATTGTTTTATGTTGAACTTTCATCGTTACTCTTTATTTCGTAGAACTTCGTCAACCTGACTCGATAGCCAATTATTTACTTTGTATTACAAGCATGTATCTTTATGCGGAAAGGACCGAAATGCACGATAGTATTTGATTTAAAGAGTTTCAAATAAATTTCTTGAACATAAAATTAAATTATTCCAAAATTTTATTGTTCGATAAACAGTGAAAATAATATTCATAATTAATGTTTTTTGAATATGATAATAAAATTAAATTATAGAATTAGCAATTAGTAAGTTATTTATATTCTATTATTTTTTAAATCATTCAATTATATTTTTTTTCTAAATATAATTTTATAATAAATATTTATCTTATAATGTTTATATTATATTATATATTGTATATTAAGCAAATGAATTTCGATGAAAAATATATTAATTAATGCTAAATGCAGCTAAATACAGTCTGCTGAATATTAAGCAGACCGAATCAAACAACATCGATCGCAATAACAAGCATTTTCGTAGCACTTCCGCTTAGACTGACGGAAGCTCTACTTTCTTGCGCGGTCAATGACGTGTATGGTATTGGTAATTGTAATAGGACTATTATTTGAATAGTTAGATTCCAACCCCATGATTAAATCTGATTGAATCTCGAAATTAAAATTTAAATCTCGACAGAATTTCTTTTATTTCAATCCGTTAATCAATATAAATGAAATTAAGATACGATCAAATTTATATTTAAATATATGCGATGAAGTTTTTGAAGAATAGCATACGATCTCAATGCGAAAATTCGCTTGAAGGAAGATACTCGACCGAGATTCTCGATTTCCATCGTTTCTGGATCAAAGATCTTTTTATGGATTTCACGGTCAAGCGATCACGATCTCTATCATCGCTCACCATAACAAAATTCTTTCTTTGAAATTTATAAAAGATCTTAAATTTTTAAAAGATCTGAGGATTTCCACTTTTTTAATCTTGCGTGAGATATGATAAGATATTATATTTTTTTACTTTGACACTAATTTTACAATTAATATATTTGATATTTATAGACGATAAGAAAACATGTTTAGAGTAATTAACAATTCAAAAAATGGCGGAATTCTCATTCTCTCAAGTAAAACTTTCTGAAGTTGTAAGTTCCTTGTACTTCAAGAAACTTTGTATTTTTTTAAGATAACAATGTGCCAAAGAAAATGCTTGCTATTTTTAGTCACATTTTCTATTCTACTGACAAATTGTTATACAGCACGCTTTCTTCATAATGACTTAAAACATATGAAGTTACTCGCAAGATATACTCGTCGCTGTAAAACAGTTTCACTTTTCGCTATTGTCATGAATGGGCACGCGATTCTTTCCACGGAGCTTATGCATCCTTCGAAGAAACGGATTGCTTTTCTGGGTTTACGAAAGCGTGGAGAAACAATATTGGTTTCTAGACATAATTTAGAGATCGGTACACTTTGATCAGAAAGGCTATACATTTAAGTTTTTCTGACTAACAGAAAAAAATCTCTCTTTTTAAAATTTAATTTTTAAATTTTTTTCCTGTTGCAACGATATTATCAATGAAGATAATTTATTTTTTAACTAACGAGACATTGGAAAACTATTTGTTTGCATTTATATTATAAATTCGTAAAATGTCCTTAAAATGTCTAAAAAAATCATTTGCGTGTTTCCATATAATTAAAAAAAAAAAAAAACCTATAAAATGCCTATTTTTTTTTTTTTTTCTTTTTGTTAAATTTTTGCATTGCAAATCATTGAAATATGACATGTTAGAAAGAAATAAATTTTTTTAAAATTTTAAAAAAATTTATTTCTGTCTAACTTGTCATATTTCAATGATTTGCAATGCAAAAATTTAACAAAAAGAAAAAAAAAAAAAAAACCTATAAAATGCCTATTTTTTTTTTTTTTTACTATTGATGAATATTTGCATTGCAAATCATTGAAATATGACATGTTAGACAGAAATAAATTTTTTTAAAATCTTAAAAAAATATATCTTCCGATATTTTAAATATACTTATATCTTTTTTATCGGATTATTATGTTTAACTCATAAAATAAAATGATTAAGAAGAAGAAAAAAATGAATTCTCAATATGAATTTTATTCTAATTAAGTTTCATCGATTTTTCAGTGCGCCGTGATCACTTAGGAGATATAACGATATAAACAAAATACGCTTAAGGTGAGGAATTTTCATCGGAGAGACGAACGAGAAAAGATGTGTCATCATTGAGAAGAAAAAAATCTCAGCGAAAGATACCTTTCCCCAAGATCCATTAATTCGTATACAAACCACTGAAAGGACGTTGATCGAGATGGAGGACAAGAAGCAGTGGGAAAAGACGAAGAAGCTGTTCAGCTGGAGCGACGTGCAGACCGCGTGAGTAATACGCTTGAAATTTGTTTGGGCTCGCTTCCACTTTTACTTCGCTTTCGTTGATTGGAGAAACCGGCCATGGTTCGACTTTGTACCCGAAGCTTCTACGATTATATTGGTCGTTATAATAATTATATTTTAATATTGATTTCACAAGAATGCTAAAAATAATGCTGGAAAAATAACTCCAATTTTCAATTAACAGGAACGATGAAGGAATTCCACAATATAGCTATTCTATACAAACGAAATATAGTTATTTTATTCAAGTTTTGAATTTATTTGAATATCGTCTAGTTAGAATTCATTAGAATATTATAATTTAAAATGCGAAAATAAATTAATACAAAGAAATAAGTATAAACACGTTATATTATTTAACATGAATTGATAAAAATTAAATATTATGAATTGTAAAATATTTTTTTTTTTGTATCTGAATTCTATTATTTTTTTTTTTCACACATTGTTATAAAACTGTTTTTTTTTTTTTTTTCGTTTTTTACAATGACGATAATTGCAAGAATAATCTGAGTGTCATAAAAAAGTACGTATATTCTTTTTTTCCGCGAAATGACCATGATTTTGTAACTTATTGTGAGGACGTGATTGCATGAAATGTACAAATTCTGTTTGAATACATACGGCGATTTTATGGTAACTTGCATTCCGCTTGTATAGATTATGCGGAAAAATCGTATTCTGCTCCGTGAATCTTGATTCTTCTCTTACATTTTACATTTTTCGTCGAAGAAATCTTTGATTTCTTTTATTTATTCTTTATCTATGATTTCCAAAATCAGTGGAAATCTTTCATCGTAGAGGAAATTGGAAGAAAATGGAAAAAGTTCTATGGAGACGCATCGAAGACACAGGAAACGGTGTGTATCAAAAAATTTCTAACGAGAGTGAAAAGTCGTGGAGACTTCGAAAAAGTCGGCCAACAAATGGCGCACAAAGCGCGAGGCAAATTTTGCAAGAGCACCACACACTGGTACGAAGCTACTTCGATCCTCGAGTTCGCAATCGCGCGTGAAAGTGGCCGACGAGGAGTCGCGATGAATAGGCTCGTCCGCTTGTGGCTGCTTCGTTTTATCATTGCACAGTGAAAGGGTAAAATGTAGGCAAAACACACGAACGATCGCGACAAACGCATCCTCTCTATGTCAGATTGATCTAACATCGATCTCTCTTTTGCGAAGAATCTCTAGGCGTGAACTCTTGTACGAAATTATATGCTCAATTTTTTATCAAACTTATTCGTTTTCTCATTGAATATATTTTTATTGCCTATTAATTAGAGTTTTTTTCTTCGGTAAGGAGGCTGAGTTAATTAATAAAAATTATTATCATCTTTAGATTGATGAGTAACACTTCTATTCTTTAACTTTTAACGATGAATCATAACCAAAGCCAAAGAATAGGCTTCTGCGTGACATATCTTAGATACGGTATTTTACATTTTATTCTAGTCATAGTCGTAGAAAAAAATAATAGATTAATAGAATGATTCAATAATTGAGATTATTATGGAAGGATCTCCTGTTAAAGATGATAGAAATTAATGAATCATTTAGACGGAAAAATAATAAGTTATGGTATGGTTGCATCATTAAATTTCAAAGTGCGTGTATGCATCTATTCAAATGTAATTAAGAATAACACATTGATCATTGATTGCAAATTACTGTTTGTCGTTCCCTTATGTACCGATTACTGTTGAAGAAACGAAAAGGAAAGAAGTATAAAGACATCTCGAGAGATGGCACCACGCTTACCATTTCTGTTACGTGATGAACTTAGGGGTAAATTAGCATAATTCACAACATGTGTCTCGTTAACATAAAAACGAGTATAGACTGATAATTATCGAAGACACAACATGCATTGCGTGACGCTCGAATACGCGCATTACATAAATATAATTTTATGTACAAAGTCGCGATTAATTTACGCGATCATATCATAATTTAATCTTTATTTTATCTATTTTATATAATTTTATATAAAATATATATATAAATATATATTTATA